ATCAGTTGAAGAGGGTGAAGGAAAGGATGTGGGCTCACACAGGATTGCCTTTCTAGCAAGGGGAAAGCTAGGGGGCTCAGGAGAAACAGCTGGAGGGTCCTTGTTGTTGCCTTGCTCTGCCTAATGGCAGGGCTCACCCTAGTGCGGAAGTTCAAAATCCCAGGTGAGAAAAGGCACATAGGGACTCAGGGCGGCCAAATGTACTGCCATTTTTTTTCTCCCTCTTCGTTCTCCCATCAAAAGGCAGGCAAGTGGCAAAACACAAAATACAAAAATAACCTGGGGAACCACACAGGATCTCCAGCATTCATTCACTTGTTTGTTTGTTTATTCATTTGCTCATTACAGTCCCTGCTGTGTGTTAATATTCAATTACCGGCTTCTCTTCCTCCCTTTCCCAGCATTCCTCCCATTGAAATTCTCCCAAGGGCCCGTCCATCAGAGAGAACCAAGGAGTTATTAAAGCCATAATTCTTGTAGCCTGCTGTTCCCTGACAGGAAGCAGTAGATCCTCAGCCCATGAGTCGACTTACTTGTTGCATGTTGCCTGCTCTTGTGATGCATTTTCGGAATGACAACCTTAGAGTTATTCTAGGGAATGAGGATCAACCAGCGAAGGGGACAACAAGCCTACACCCAGAACACAGCTGGGAAATGTTATTGATCAGATTGTAACATGCACAGTTCCTCAGCCAGCACGGCCACTGTTGCTTGTTATAAAAAGAGTAACTCATATAGTTAAACTAGTGCAGTGCTAACAAAGTAGTTAATCTCACATAATGCTCATAGTTAAACTGGCATAGCATAAATGGCATAACTTTTAGAGGTAAATTACCTTGAGTTAACAAATTGCACTGATAATGTCTATGGTGATTTCTGAACTTGAGACAATTCTCTTCCAAATGTTATGTTCGTAGTGTTACACCAGTATAACCATGCAAAGATATTTTGGCCATTGTTTTAAAAATACACTTAAAAACAGCAAAAATGGCTCCGGATTCTCCCCTCCTGCCCCAAATAATCTTAGTCTTAGAACTGCAGAACTGAAAGAGATTTTCTGGATCATCAAGTCCAGCCCCTATGAAGGAGGCCCAATGGGGAATCAAACTCCTAACCTCTGGCTCCATAGCCAGATACCTAAACCACTGAGCTAAATGACCTCTGCCCAAGAGATAGGATTCACAAGCATATATTACGCATTACACTAAAGAAGAAGAAGAAATAATGACATTACCAATAGTCATTTTATTTTGCAGAAGGAACTTTACTATGTCTCTGTTACTCCAGTATTTCTAGATAATGTTGTACCTTGTAGCACAGGACTTCCCAGTGCTTTCAGCATCAGGTAAAAGCATTTTGAAGTCTAAGGCAAAGGAAAAAAAAATCAGCCTCTCCCCATTCCATGGACAGAAGCCCATCAGGCTGGCACTTGAGTCTGGGTCCACTGCTGATGAAACAGTGTCACTCCTCACTTTTGAGGGCAGCGGTCAACTTGAGGGGACGTGGAAGGGGCTGTGTTGTATACTGAAATCTCTGTTCTCCAGGACAGAGGAGTTTCAAGGGAAATCGGAAAGAATGGCTGGGAGTTGCCATTCCTCCCCCGCTCTCCAGCATCTATTGATTGAATTGGTTGTGTCACTCTGCCTAATAGTAGGGCTGGCCTTATACATTATGGCGCATTCACAGGTAGGAAAAAAAGAGGTGTAGCACCTGGAAGTCAAGGGTTGGCAGAGAATGAAGGTAGTGGCCTGAAATTTTAAAAGAGTAGTGATGATCTGAAATTTGTTTGACCCCTTTTTGAAAACTGTTTTCCTTAGGAATCAATAGTCTTGGCCTTACAGACCAGAGACTGTTCCCTGAGCGAACTATTTTAACTGATGTACCAGAACAGAAAGTTGCACAAAGACCTTTTGTCCTTGAAGAGGATCATTTTCAAAATTAGTTGAGCATTCTTCAAATAAAAATTTAATTGCTATTTTCAAGCACCAAGCTCCGGCTTTGATTCTTTCTTTGTTCTTTCTTGGGCGGGTTGAGCAGCCGAGGGAAATTCATAGAGTTAGTAAAATAATATCCTTATTAGGACTAAGCAGTGCTCATAATACAGTATGCCATTTCTGAAGAGGGCAAAGTTGCAAGGACACCCTTTTGGACAGGCTGCTCAAGGAAACGTAATCCACACCACCATAAATTGCACTGTGAACTCTTCCTGCTCTTGCAGAGTTATTATTTCGACTGTCCTTGTGAAATTTGTTATTACGGGTCAACACCAGTTACCTGATTTCACCCTTCCATGCAGTATATTTTCTACAAAGTCTACATTACCTGTGAGTTTCCATGACCTAACCTGCCGAGTCTCAGTCTGACATTCTGCCTAAATTCTCCACACTGACTGTCAGCTGAAACAATTGAAAGTTCACCATCCCTGATACAACTGGAAAAAGGTGTGGGAAAAGTTTTTTTGGGGGGTGGATGGGCATGACTTCCAGAATTCACTACCAAGATAATGGCCGTGCTGCTGGGGTGGTGGTTATAGTTCCGGGACTTGCAGCTCAAAAAGGTTGATCTTCCCAGCTCTGCCCAAAAACTGCTGCAGAGTTTTGAATTTCTAGTTTAAAATTCTCCTTTTGATACCTAGCAGAAGTATAGAGACTCACAAAAAAAGAATAGCTTCAAGCTCCACAGATAGCCCGTCCCTTTCTTATTAACTGGCATAATCTCAACAACTCACCCTGAGACATTAATAGGAGAAAGAAGGAAAAGGTTTCATTACTTAAAGCCATGAACAGATAACAGCAAACAAACAAAACAATCAACCTGCTAATTGACTTCCGACAGACAAAAGAGAGGCAAGGAGAATTCTCACCAGAGAGTCAAGGGGTCTCTTTGAATTCCAAGGCAGGAAGGAACAATTGGTTAGTGCTGGAGAAACTGTCACCCCAGCTGAGAAAGGTTCCTCCCGGTCACTCAGCCTACAGTATGCAAGGTTGTAGAAAAGACAACAGAAAGAACCAGGACGTCACATGATTTAATCCTTCCCTAATAGAAGAGATTTAGAAAAATTACTTATTGAACTCCCAGAAACCCTCTGTTGCCCCGGTAAGCATAGTAATTCCAGAAGTTATAGTTTAAAAAAAAAAACTTGTGCAAACATTGGCTATCCCCCTGCAGCACTCTGAAACAAAATCACAATCCTGTGCCAAGAAGTGCCAATGTTCTGCAACCAAAGTAAGTCATGTCTATTCTTTGAAATCTCAGATCTTGCTTTGCAACATTTATTTGGCTCTCACTATCCCTGGGGTGAAAAAGAGCCACCATGAATGCTTGAAACCTCACCTTCAGTACAAGTTGTGTGGATTTATTTTAATTGTCTTTTTAATACCAGGGCTGAGCACTCGTGAAAAAGAGACTGAGAGAGAGAGAAAGTTCAGTTCCATGTTAATGTAAAGTTCTATGCTTATGTAATCCTTATGCAACTCAAGAAATACAAAGTGCTGGTTACGGTTGCTACCACCTATTATGGGTTGTCCTCCTGTGTCTTTAATAGCAACCTGCCATGCAGGTTAAGATTTTCACGCCGTGAAAAAATAAAGTGATCATGAAATCCTGACTTCTTGTTGTGTCAAACTGCTGTTAAAAATACATGAGGACGATTCAGTAAAAAAAACTGGCTTCCTATCTATTGTTTCACACATCATTACCCATAGTTGCCTCCCTCCATACATAAAGATGATCATGTCTTTGGGTATGTATGACCACATTACTAATTTTGTAACCTTTCCTCCTTTGTTCGTATCAGAGTGTTGCACAATTTAAAATGATGGGTGCATATGAAATACAGTGGTGCCTCGCTTAACGAGCGCACCGTATAACGACGAGTCTGCATAGCGATTCCTTTTTCAGGATTGCTAATGCGGAGGCATACTGATCGTTCCAATGGGCAAAACTCGCATAGCGACGATCGGTAAGCGTTTCGCTTACCGTTCCTCGCTTTGCGATGCCCGCGGATCAGCTGTTTGGCGGTTCTAAAATGGCTGCCAGACGCCCGAAATGGCCACGCGCAGCGTTTTTGCGCCCTCCCCTCACTTACCGAGGGCGCGAAAATGGCTGCCGCTATGGAGGAAACTTCGCTGAACGGTAAGTTTAGGGCCCATTGGAACGCATTAAACGATGTTTAATATGTTCCAATGGGTTTTTATATTCCATTTAGTGATGTTTTCACATAGCAAGGGTTAATCTGGAACGGATTAACCTCACTATGCGAGGCACCACTGTATAGTTACAATGAAAAACAAATTAAAATGTTAAGATAATTAGACTGTTTTTCACCCTTTTGTAATGTGCTCAGTGAAGAGAAGAGTTAAGATACCCCAGCACAACCAATAGGATCCTAAAACACGAGACAGAGACAGCAGGCAGCAGGTATTGTGAAAGGGAAGTTGTCTCTTAAGTATTGGGCAGAATCCTACTGGGATTTTACTCCAGAGTAAATGAAATCATATAAGGTGCAGTGGAAAATTGCAGCCAATTAATTAACTACAATTTGTTGTGCCAATTCACATTATTTTACTTAACTTCATCCTAAAATCCTAAAAGGATCTTGGAAATTTAGTTTCACAACTTAACTTTCAGGACCACGGAGAAGAGCTTGGGGGGGATTTCCTGCTTTATGTGCCAAAATAAACCTGCTGGTTTTGGTTACTACAAAAAATTCTTGACATGGTCAAAGTGTTTGTTTGGATGAGTGAGTGCCATTCCTTGTCCCACCTCAGGCAGCAAAATGTCTTGAGAGGGCCCCAAAATGGTTCAAGATGACTGCAACCTGCCCCTCTTTCCGTTATTCCCTGTGGAGCAAGCCTTTTCCTCTATAAACCATCTGCAGCATTGTCTTAGAAAGGTGGTGGGACAGAGGGGGTCAGCCTGCATGTGAATGGGCCATCGTCAGAGATGCCAAGGTAGGGTAAGGCACAAGGCAGCAGCAGTAACTGCCCTATCCCTTCCAGCTACGGTGACATGGTCCCGAGCACCATTGCAGGGAAGATCTTTGGATCCATCTGCTCTCTAAGTGGGGTGCTGGTCATCGCCCTCCCTGTACCTGTCATCGTTTCCAACTTCAGCCGGATCTACCACCAGAACCAGCGGGCAGACAAGCGGCGAGCCCAGCAGGTAACTGGGAAGTGAGTGGGGGGAGGAGAAGGGGAAAGGGGAGGTGCAACAACAGGCAAAATGAGGGAGAGGGGCTTATCAACCCTTCCTTTTAGATACAACTGATTATTTATTTCTCTCTCCCCTTCTCTTGCCCTTGCAGAAGGTTCGTTTGGCCCGGATCCGGCTGGCTAAGAGCGGTACTACCAATGCTTTCCTTCAATACAAGCAGAATGGAGGCCTTGAGGTATGGGCTGTAGTCTAGATTCACCCTGGCAAATACTGTACAATTTCCTGAGTATGCAGCCTATTCAGAATGGTTGCAGTGACTGTTTTTTTAAGCCACTTTGCACCTTCTTTGAAATGGAAATGAAGGGTAGAAATATGAAAACTCCCTCTCCTTTCCCACTCACCCCTGCCAATACCTATAGCTTTTTTTGCAGAAATTTGAAGAATGCTTGGTTAGATGTTTATTACAAATATTTATATACTGTTCATCAAATATATCATACTGATTGACAAAAAATGTTTTTAAAAGAATCAAAAGAACCATTCAAGAAAAAGAAAGACAAAATACAGTCATCATAAAGCAAAGGATGTAGCAACTAATGTTGGCTTCCCAAAGCCACCATCCTGATAGATTGAGTCAAACTGATAAAAATCCTATTTAGCCTGCCTATGGAAACCGAAGTTAACGGTATAAAGTAAATACCTAACTCACTGTTTCTCAGATATTGTGAAGACTGTTCAGGTTCTAAACAATGTTAGCTTCTAAGACCTCTTCACCAAACCACTTATAGAGGACTGCATGTTTTAATATGCCTGCTAAGAAACCAGCAACATCTGGTAGTTAGAAAAGCAGCACATGATGAAATAAGTTTCTAGGCAATTCCTGGTTCTGGTTTATTACTCTTCTCTACACAGGGAATTTCAAGTGGGAAATAATTCAAACATACAGTTTCCCCATGTGCAGTCAGAACTAATAACATTCTAACAGAATATTCTGAATATGTTGATTGGCTCAGATGCTGGCATACGTACACATGTATTCATTTGCAGACCTGTGCTCTCATACCCCAAAATTACCCTGAAGCAAAGATGCATTGGTTTTAAAGCCATAGTTGCTAATTTAGAAATTGTGTCTGTCTGAGTGAGTGAGATGCGTAATTGAATCCCTCTGCACTTGCCTCCTTTCTTCCATAGGACAGAGACCCAGATGCACATCCCTTAGCTGTGCGCAACCGATCAGCCTTTGAACAGCAGCACCATCACCTGCTGCATTGCTTGGAGAAAACTACGGTGAGTAACTAGACAGGGAGCAATAAAGGCTGGGTCTCCTGCAAAATGAGCAGAATGTTTTGGGCTGAGTCATTGGGGGAGTGTTTAATATATATATAGTGGACGTAGGTTCTGTTTTCTATTCAGTGATGCTCAGATCTCTTTTAACAGCAATTTTGCCCAGAATTAGCAGTGTTATATTTGATGACAACTATTTTTCCATTAAAAGCTGCAGTCTTATGAGTTCTCACTCAAGAGTGAGCCTTGCTCAGTATAATGGCACTTACTTCCATACACAGGATTGTATGGTAAGTGTGTAAAATAACAAGGCATGCAATAACTGTTCTAATAGAGGTTCAGAGGCATTCTCTGGCTTCCACTGAGAACAAGGAAGGTTTCTTCATCAGTCTAGCCATATGAAGGTGGTAGTGGAGGAGGAGGAGGAAGAGGAGAAAGAGGAACAAGTCACACACTATAGGTTTATCAACCTAGGTAAGGCTCAAGGTGGATGTTGATACATCTTGGGATACAGTAATACTGTAGTTTGCTCTCACTATCCTAGCAATACTGAGGCTTCAGCAGAAAAACTCGCACGGAGCTGTCCAAGGTTCTGTTTTCATTTGCTTTCTGTTTTGACTCAGGAGTTAAAAAAACAAGTGAGGGATGAGTGATGAGGTGATCATGTTGCCTAATGACATCAAATTATTTAGGATGGTTAAAACAAAAGAGGAGAGTGAGGAGCTCTGAAAAGATCTCTCCAAAGAAAAGAAAGAGACGTGAAAAAGGGAATTGCAGTTCAGTATAAGGAAATGTAAGACGAAGCACACAGAAGCAAAAAGAAGACCTGAATTTACTTATACACTGATGAGGTGAGCTAACAATGACTGACTTGGGAGGTTATGATAGAAAGCTTGGTGGCAATGTTGAACGCTAGATGCAGCTGCTATGAAAAGGACATTTTCCAAGCTGGGGATCATTAGGAGAGAAACTGAAAATAAAACTACAAATAAATCTGTCTTTACAAATAAATCTGTGGTGTGGCCACATTTGGAATGCCAATTCTAGTCACTGGATCTTGAAAAGGCTATCACAATGCTACGTAAGCCACACAAAAGGGCACCCAGAATTATTAAAAGACAAGAGCAAATCTTACATGATTTAAATTTACAAAATAGAGGGAGGGAACCAAGTAAACGAAAGGCAAGTGAGACAATATGATGATGTACGAAAGTATGCATGGTGAGAAGGTGGTGAATAGTGAGAAATCTTCATTCTCTGTCCCTTCCACAATATTAAGACTTGGGGTCATTCAGTAAGCTAGAATAATGGGGAATCAGGACACTCACAACAGAGACAGTGCACAACTAATCTATGGCATTCATTACTAGATGTGGTGGTCACCCTAGCCCTAAAGGTAAAGGTAAAGGTTCCCCTTGACAATTTTTGTCCAGTCGTGTTCGACTCTAGGGGGCGGTGCTCATCCCCGTTTCCAAGCCATAGAGCCAGCGTTTTGTCCGAAGACAATCTTCCGTGGTCACATGGCCAGTGCGACTTAGACACGGAACGCTGTTACCTTCCCACTGAGGTGGTACCTATTTATCTACTCGCATTTACATGCTTTCGAACCGCTAGGTTGGCGGGAGCTGGGACAAGCGATGGGAGCTCACTCCGTCGCGTGGATTCGATCTTACGACTGCTTGGTCTTCTGACCCTGCAGCACAGGCTTCTGCGGTTTAGCCCGCAGCGCCACCACGTCCCTAAATGGCTTTAAAGGAGGGTTAGTTAGATTCATGGTGGATACGATATTCAGTGGCTACCGCTCATGTAGTACATCCAATATCAGAGATAGTATGCCAGTTTTGGGGTAACATGAGCAAGAAGCTACTAGGGCGCTCCCGTTCTGCTTGTGGATTTCTCATCAACATTTGGTGGACTGCTGTGCAAACAGATGGTGTGACTAAGGAGGCCTTTGGTCTGATCATGTGTTTTAAGGTCGATCCCTTGATTCCTAGAAGCTCTAAACTCTTCCCATCCAGCCCCCCGAGACTGCTTGCATGATTTCAAAAATTATCATTGCAGCGATAGGGACTAGAAATATGGCCTTTTTCAAATGAAGAAAATTCTGGGCTGATACTCCAAAGACAAGGAATTCTGCACCAAATTCAGTGTTGCTGACTTGGGCTTGTTATCTGCACAGAACATGCACAGCTGTGATGATGCCCTGAACTGTAAGCTAGAATGGGGACAGGATGGAAGGAAGCGTATATTCACACAAATACTGTTTCTCTTTCTCCCTGCCTCATCTTCTTTCACCCACATGAAGAGTCACGAGTTTGCCGATGAACACTCCTACAGCGAGTTCTGCCTGACGGAGCCTCTGGGCTACCGCACGAGCCGCAGCACCTCTCTTTCCTCCCAGCAAGGGAGCAAGAGCGGCCTGAGCACGTCCTGCTGCCCCCGCCGGGCCAAGCGCCGCACCACCCGCCTGACCAACTCCACCATGACGATGAGCCGGGCCAGCGCTCAGGAGCTGGACACCCTCAACAGTCAGAAAAGTGCTGCCCCCCAGAGGTGAGTGCCTTGTTTGCTTCCTCTTCTGCCCTGCTGTTGGAAAGGGGGAGGTCCCTTCGGCTGGGGTGGTTCGTATCTTAGAGAAGAGAATAAGATTTGCCCGTGCCTCTTCCACAGGATGTGAGTCTGTGCTGCAGGAACCAGGCAGTGGACACTGAGTTCTAGAAAGTTTAATTTAGTTTTCAGGAATTTAAAAAATATAGTATATTTAAAATAGTACGATGGTCAGTCTGGACAATAGTCTGGAGAAGGCAAAATGCAAGGCTTTTAAGACTTGTTGGGAAATGGGCACATCAGCTCCAGAAGGGACATAATGGCAGGCAAAGCAGGCAAGTCGGAACAGCTCAAGATATTTTGCTGCAGGAAGCAGAGCAACACGTGGCGCCCTCTGCTCCCAAAGGCAAAGTATACAGTAATCGGGGCCAGTCATGTCATTATGGCACAGGAGACAGAAAATCCCATAACATTAAATATATACTACTGGGCAATTAAATAACTAAGAAATTGCTGCCCTTTCAATGACTCTGAATCCAGCTGCCTGAGGAACTGCCTCACCATGCCCAACAGTAGGACTGGCCCGAGTATCTGTGTCCTGTCCTGTCCTTTCACAGAGATGGAAGCCTGAGAAAACAAACAAGAGGATTTGTCCAATTCCATTGTGCATCTGCAGCAGAGAGAGAGAGAGAAAGAGGTTGTGTGTTGTTTCCAGTGAGTAGGGTGGCCTTTCTTCCCTGGATTCACTAGCTGGCTTTTGTGGCTTTGCTTCTCAGAACAAATTTCCATTGGTGAATCCATGGTGGAGAATTTGATACGTAAACACAAACATTTCTCCTTTATAACGGTTGGGTCCATTTACAGCAAAGAAGCCCCCTGCTCCACAGTTTCTTACAAAGAACGATCGGCAGTCCTAGAGAAAGATGTGAGAGACACTTGTTATGTCAGGACTTTGGCCTGCCCTTTCCCATGAGGTGGCAGCAGGCAGACCAAGGTTCAGTAAGGTTCTTTGCTGCTGGATTATAATGACTCTCGACCCCCCCCCCCAACAATACTCGCTGGTAGCAACTCTCTGCTTGGACCTCCCCTTTTTCACATTTTCCAGTCTCGCTTGTCATTCCCAATTGATCCTTCTTTCCATTGTGCTTGGCTCTCAAGCAAAATACTGTGCAGCTTCTGGACCCATTGCAATTCTAGGCCTGGCGAAACCAAATTTTATTTTATTTTTATTTGATTTGATTTATACCCCGCCCATCTGGCCTAAAAGGCCAATCTAGGCATTACTTTTGGGGCTACAACCCCCAAAATTGGGATTCCAGGAATTATAGTCCAAAAATGTTATGTTTTCAAGTTCAGGGCCTGATAGAGCCCAAGCATCCCTATTTTGTTACTTAATTAGGTGCCATCAAAGTCAGAACCGATCTATAGCAACCCTAATAGGGTCTTCAAAGGAAGTGATATATTTAAGGAGTGGTTTTTCTAGTTCTACTCCCCCAGTGAGTTGCCATGGCTGAGCAGGGGATTCAAACCTAAAGCCTCCGGAGTCCTAGTCTATCACTCTATCCCTACACCGCACTGTGTAGCTATCCCTATTTACCAAAACCATTTCCCCATTTTCAGGTGGTGGTGGTTCCTAGCAAAAGCATTTGTCGATTTTATCTGAAAGTGTTTTTCTGGGGCAAATGTTAGAGACACCTTTTAAAAATACTGCTCGTGAGTAATAAATGCACCAGTGCTGTTTTTAACTTTATTTAGTACCATCAAGGGACAGGGGCTTAGTCTACAGTCTTTTCAGAGACAGGAGAAGTTATTTTTAACCCTAGACTATATTTGTTCTGTTATAAAATAAATAAATATCCTCAGGCTTAATTTTAAAAAGGAAATGTATGGCCCTTCTGTTTAAAAAACTCACCTTTAAGTCCTGCAATAGTAGGACTGGCTTTTGACACAGTTGTTGAAAATGTAACAGTGAACAGAGATGAGCTTTCTGCAAGCTGTAGTCGTGTAACCAGGAGCCAGTTCAGGTAGTGATCCTTGGTGTGGGAATAAGGATGTTATATAACTACAGAAGAAATGTCCTGATTTTAGTCTGTGAAATGTCGGTGGATACAGACTTGGAAGGCATGGCAGAGGCAAAGGAGGGGAGGGATGTGTGTGTGTGTGAGAGAGAGAATGGTTGACCCCAGGTCACCCAAAGGGTTTCATGGCTGAGTTGATTTGAATGTGGGTCTCAGTCTTGACATTCCAGGCGTATCTAATAACTGAAATGGCTGTAAAAGTTTAACGTAGACTGGCCATTCTTCATACTGGATGTGACGAACAATAAAGCCCCATGTATTATAGTGTATACATAACTTTGCTTTTCTGGATTGGGATTTTTATCTGTAATTTTGGCAGCGTGGTTTGCTACTAAAATTCAGCCACACACATTTGTGTTGCAGCTGGGGGCTGCAAAACCCGTTGTGGCCGGCTGCAAGTTGCCCATCCCTGACTTAGAGAGGTCAGGTTGCAGGTGATGGCAAAGCCCTCTGCTGGTGAACATCTACTGGTCAGTAAACCTTACTGGTCTAGAATGACAAACCATTTGCCCTGATATAAGGCAGATTTTTTTCTGTCCCCAAATCTGCTTTTACCTACACACTAATGGGCAAGGTTTTCTACCTGTTATGGACAGAGTTCTCAAATGTGGCAACGTTTGCAGCACATGATTGTGAACCTTTTGCATGAACCTAAGTTGTTGTTGTCTGCTGATGGGGGTTCCAAAGAGCTGAAGTCCGAAAACCCTTAGAAGTCCAAAGTATCCCCACACTCACCTTTACTGTTGACAAGAGTATGCTCAAACAAGTGGAGTTAGCATTTCTGCCTCTCAGTGTGTTCTGCTCTAAATGGAGCATAGAAAGAGGAGTGATTCTGATCATGAGTGCAATGCAGAAGACAAGGACACCACACCCTCCCTGCGCCTTGTTGTCCAACTTCTATTTACAGTTTGTAAAAAAGCACCCAAGGGCAAAACTATGCTTGTGGTGAAGGAGTAGAAAAAATGCAGTCTGTGGTCCATGTGTCATCTGCAAGATTCTTTTGTGGTCTTCAGAGATCAAATGTTGTTGGTTTTTGGAGTTGTTCCCACACCCACACACACCCACACACACTTCAACCAGCAAAATGGCTCTTCAGAAGAAATGTGATTGTCCTGTAAAACAAAGCATGGCCTCCCACACAGTTTGTTTAGACATTATTGGTTCCTCCCCGCAACCTTAAAAGTGGCCTTCCTATCACTTCCAGACTCTCTTGGAGGAGCTGCTTTACCCCTATGAGACTCCTAGGGAGCTTGCCCACCCATAATTTTCTGGGATTTGTTCCCTCAACCTGTGCCAGATTCTACACAGGTGATCAATGGATGCTTGTCTTCCTGGCTGCAACCCATAACATAGTAGAGCCACAGGCTCTCAGTGGCTTAGAGGGAGGGCTGTAGGGCCTCCCCACAGAGAGCATCCATCTTCTTGGCGAGCCCCACCTCCCGTTCTGAGGAACAGATGCTTAAGTCTTATAGTGAATTGTGATTGGAATGAGTCAGCAGTGGATTCCTGTTGCAGGAGACAAGCGCTACTTTTGCCAAAAGTTTGGAGACGGGGGGGGGATAAGCACCCCCATCGTGTGGGTTTAAATACATGATTTCCTGTGGTTTTTTTTTTTTAATGATTCAGAGGAGAACTGAGCTGGCAGAGGATTTTTAAATGAATGATGCATGAGGAAAAGCCTAAGGAGCCAGACATGACCAGTTCAGAGAAAAAATGATTAGGGGGTGAAACCATGAAAGCTGTTTCAAACATCCGAAAGAGATGTCATAAAGAGGCAGAAAGACTGACTGCTGAGCAGCATCCCTTGGGGAAGGATAAGAGGAACCAATTGCAACACAACAGGCATAGGACTGATACCGGGGAAGGGTTTCCCGACTGCAAGAATGGGTGGGCAGCAGAGCAAGCGAGAGCGGTGAGATAAGCATTCATTGGGGAGATTTTTTTCCCCTTAAGTCTGAAGAATTCTGGGCTTTTGAATTGGATGAACTTACAAGTCCATTAAAGAGTGAGGCCAAGATGTTCTGCGGCCTTAGGCAAAACATTAAATGCCACCCCACTCCTACCAGACTGGGTGCATGGCACCCAAGCCCAGTTATATTATGCTGGCACACAAAGCTTAACATCTCAGAAGCAATTCCCTTCCATCCTGGCAGAGTTTGGGAATCGCTAGTTAATTACTGATAGTTTTGTGTTGTTGTTGTTTTTTTTAAAAAAACCCACCAATAATCAAAAGTATAGCTGTAAACTTACATTAAGATTCTAAGTTTTTCATTCCTTTTGTGGAACAACTGTTAATTTTCATGATGTAGTTACAGAGCAGAGCAGGAGTAGCAGATGGTTCAAATGCTCATTTGCACGTTACTTCATCCCTGCTGTTTTGTGCTCTGTTGTGGGTACTAGTAAGGCCACAATGAAGTGGACAGGAGGAGAAGACATTTGGTAGTGTCAGATTCCCCGGAGAACATCTGAGTGCCTTCACAAGGCTCATGTTTTTTCCAGACTCCCTATGAGAAACGTATAGATTTGTGTTTTATACACATCTGACAAGTAACTTAATTGTGGTCACAGAAGATCTTATACCTTGTTTTGTATTCATTCAATTCGTCCTTCCTGGATACCCTTCAGAATTTTGACTTAGAAATTCAAAAAGAAATCTTTTTCTTTTTAAAAAGATTTATCTAGCAAGCAAGTAACTGTGTAAATAAGAACTAAAAATGTAAAATATATTTGAGTATATAAAACTAAATGAGTATTGCAAAATTCACAGTCTTCTAATACAACATATTTGTATTAGCAGCATATTTCATGTACTGTATGTAGATAGCATTTTTAATATATAAAAAGTAGGATTTATTGAAAGTATGATCTTCTATTCAAATGCCATAGAACTTAAGTTTAGTAATGCAAAAGATACAATATTAAGACTATTTCCTTAGCAAAGAGAATAAAATATGTAAACTTTTATACAAGTCACTTAAAAGTCTCTATTCCAATACACATTATTTGTGAAAACAAAGCTGAGCATGGCAAAATGTTAAGTTACAATAAATAAGTAACATTACATAATTCTCACCCACTCCAAGCAGAGATTCTCCCCCTTGTTTGCGAAAACAAGGTTCATGTATCCTTTGAGATGTTCCATAAACATTGCAGAAATCTCTGTTTATACAGTATATCTCTTGATATTATACATAGTCAAAACAATCTGTTGTGGGACAGCTTTCCCCATGGGTCTAATCTCTATCTGGCTGAACCAGAGATCTCCTAGGCCAGGCAGGTTATGTAGTAGCCCCCTCCATTTGAGTTCTAAGGCTAGATGACGTAACTTACTGATGTTATATTCAGACAGCACAATATATTTTGAATGCCTATTACATGCTTTTTACATTTTCCTTGTTAGAAAATGTTCTGTGTAGGAATGTTTTATTTTTCCAACTATAAGTTTTTATAAAAATCTGTAACTGACAGCCAAGTAAGGACTGTATTATTCTGATGCTGTCCTTCAAGTTACCTATGGAAGAGAACCTATTTCAGTTAATTTTAGAGAAATTAACTAAAAATTAACTTTAAAAAACTATTTTAGTTAATTTTTCAAAAAGGAGGAAGTAAGTTACTTTTCAAAACTGAAATTGTAATACTGTGGGGTCTTGACTTAAGAACGGCTTGAGTTAAGAACATTTTGACT